TTTGAACAGAAGATTTTTTTTTATTGTTAAGAATCAATTTATTTCCAGTTAGATTTTGATACTGAACCCTACTTTAACTCTTCCTCCCTTTATCATCTTGTTCTATTTCCTTTCCCACATATAACTGACCGAAAATTAACAACTTGAAATGTATTCTATTTTTGAGTATTCTTAAACTCTTGCTGGGGTGAAAGACATACCACTATTATGTAAAAGGAACTTTTCTCAAAAATATAAGATGAAATTATTCACTCTAAATTGATAAAATACCAAACAGCAGTGGAATATATTGATGGATTTCAAAGTGTTTTCGTATTAGATAAAGCTCTCTCTTTTCCTCTATTAAATCATATATTTCGATCAATGACCATTAATTTACTGATAGGAGTCGAAACTTTTCAATCACCTTTTGTTATGTCTAAAAACTACACGAATGCGATAGAGAAAAAGAAATCTTGTATAAAGCTTTAAAAGATCTATGAAAAATAATAGAAGAGAAAGTTCAAATAGTTTGACTCAGTCATCTATAGATAATCAGATCAAAGTGAAAGATTTGTAACTCTCCTAACTTTTTTCTCAACCGATGATTAACTTCGAAAATATTGATTTCAAATGCTATCAAAATTTGATGTTTTTTTTAAGCAAAAAGTAATTGATCAAAGACAATAGTTCCTTGAAAAGAAGAAAAAGGCATATGTAGTTTATGGAACCATGAATCTTCTTAAAAAGATAACAGTTGACGAACTTAACTTTATTATTCACTGAACTCATCTCAATGTACGAGGAAGCAGTAGTTAAGAAAGAATACGTCTTTGATATGAGCGCATAAGTAAACTTATAAAAATGATGATTTTTCAGAAGAATTTGAACAGTTTGTTCAAGATTTTTATCGATAAATTTACTAGCGATGAAAAGATTTGCGTACACATACTGCTGTGTATTGAAATAATTATTAAAACTACTAATTCAAATGTTTCTTTGACTAGCGAATACTTCAGTCGGAGTTAACAGACATACGTTTGTTTTTGTTTTCAATGCAGAGTTTTTAAAAAATACAAGATTTTCTTAAGGCTAATTAAAGAACAGAGTGAATATTTGTGATACAACCTAATTCCAATTTTATCTAAATTTTCAATTATTCGGAAGAAATATATTTATTTAAGATTCGGAGACTTAACTGATAATATCTAGCGTTTCTCAATTTTGTCGATAGCGAATGTCCGGGAAAGTGTGACTTCAGGGAATGACATATTGGAGAAAGTCATTTTGGCGGAAATCAAGTAACCTTATATTTCAATAAAACAAAGTTAGCTAGAAAAATGTGGATGAGATTGATTGATCTATTCAGAAGAGACAGGCAATAAACTGTAACTGTGGGAAAATATTTTCTTAGTCTAGACGAGTTGGCAACGACTTCCTTGTTGAAACAAAACGCAAATTAAATTGATAATTGTTTCAAAATCGAAAAAAAAAGAAACATTTCTCCAGGAGAAAAAATGAAGAATACAACGATAAGTTATGTTAATTACTGAGAATTAAAGTTCAACTATAAACTCAATTATTTGACTTGCTTAAAATAAGTTCTGATTGGATTTAGAATGGCTAGAATCAGTTGAAACGGAAAACAATATTTATTTTAGACTTTTTCTATCTAAGCCATGATTCATAGACAATAGGGTGTGTGAGTTTGTAGATGAACCGGAAACTCACACGATATTGCATACACCTCTGTTCAAATTAAATTTTGCGGGAAAAATTTCTTTATTTTGTTTCGTCACATGTGTGCAAAGTTTACTGTTTCAACGACAAAAAAAAATATTTGAAACAAAGTTACGTAAGTTAGAACACAAAATTTAAATCACGAAAGTAGATTATGAGAAAAAAGTTTTGAAAAATACGACCATCGTTCGTGTCATCAGCTCGTTCATAAGCTGCTAATCATCTCTTATTCTCAGTAATGAAAATAGAACAGGATTCGGCATCATACTATTCATTGGGACAATGACATCTACCATAACCAGACATCAGTAATTTTGGAAAAGTGAATAAGTAAATATAAATATCTTTGAAGTATTTTATCTTGTAAGATCAGCTGAAATCATACTAGAATGGTGACCTAACATATTTTACATTAAAATGCACTCTAGAATTCTTGTAAGATCTAACTGCCTGCTTGTTTAACCTGGGTGTGTGTACAAGTCTTTTAGTATCTTTAGAATGTAACAGGAACACGGTGTGGCCATTTTCTTACAAAATATGTTATGGTGATGATTGAATTTTCGTTATTTATGATCAATTTTTTCTGAAGTCATCTATTTTGATGATTGTATTGTTGACTTTAAACTTAGCAAAGTTTATGATTTTCATAAATAAATTCTCAGAAATTTAAAATCTAAAATAACTTTACAGGACAATACCACGCCTGTCAAGCACCGAACTGAACTCGGATCTGTTGAAGTTGGTTTGATTCCCTTTCTGATAGTTATCGTTAAATACTGTCAAGTGATAATCAGACTGTCGTCTTACAAGAAAACACTGATGTTCATATTTTCTAATATATGAAGGTGAGATGAACGATGCATATGTAGACAATGTTGTTGATGACAGTCAGGAGTTTGAGATTGTTTGTATTTAGAAAATGAGCAATGTTTTTTACTTTATTATGAATTTCTTTTTGTATTGATAACAAAATAATAAAAAGTATGAATAATAAATCAAGAAAAAAAGAATTGTTATTTGAATAAAAAGAAACGATTGTAGTGCGAGACTTTTTGAATTTATCATTATTAATGGGTTTTCAGAAAACAGTTCAATTGGATGAAGTATGGTAGATGCTTTTACATATAATGTACTAAACCAAAACGATTCAAAGAGAACGTGGGTGTGATTAAATAGTATATCAACATCTATATCCACATTCTTCTTGATATTATTAAAAGTACTGGTTATAAATGCAAGTTTTAGTTCAGATTTGTACAGCTTTCTTTTAGACTTCAGCGACATGGTTTAAAGGTTAGAGATCAATGAGTATGATTTTCCTAGTAAAAGGAAGATGAACGGCAAGAGAAAACACACTGAATGACCTCATCAACCAGATATAGACTATTCTAAAACATTTTAAAGCCTTCCATGAAACTTTAATGGCTGAAATATGTTTCTGAATACTTTAACCGACTTTACTAGGTAAATCAATGGTTAAAATCATAATAAAATATACAATATGAAATAGAAATCAACAAGCCAAACAGAAATTAGAGCACAAATGCACAAAATAAATGAGACTGATGGTTTTTGTGGAAATGGATTATCTTTTGCAAACAACAATAATGTTCACTAGAGATATTTTACTGAATCTATTTCGTATTAGTATATGCAATTAAAATTTAATGACAATCTATTCTCATTGGTTTAGAAAATCTGGATATGAATGTTATAACAGAGACCGATTCTAGTAAAAAAGTAGATAAATGAATTCTTGTTAATATGTTTTCATTTTATGAATCAATATTTTTAGTCTTTATTGAGGGTGTGGGTAAGAGAGAGTATATGATCCATCTACATCCGCACCCAAGACGATGAAAGATCGTATTTTGAATGTGTGCAAGTAAATCAGCATATAATTTTTTTGGATTCGATTCATTTATAAATGCTTGTTCAAATTGACGTCGTTGTTCAATATTCGTTAACTAAAAAAAGTAAAATAGATTTTTTTTTCATACAATTAATATTTGGAGCTTTTCTTTTTTTCTCTTTTATAATACTTGCAGATAATATTCTCGATCAGAAATAAGAAATAAATGATTGTCTAATTTTTTAAAACGAGCACAGAAACGTGATAACGGCAATGAAAACATAAAAAAAGTAAAAGATATACCATATTATCAATGAGAATTCATTTTGACATTTCATGGCGAAATTTATTGATTTTGTATTGATCGTCATTCCATCAGATTGCAACAAAGAGTTTTTTTTCATTAATATTTTACTATTTATCTTTCCCAAATAAATTTTAATCGTACATGTAAGTCTTGATAATTTTTGAAAGGAAAACTAGAAAGAATATTTAACCATAGGTGAAAAAAAATAGCTCATTCAGCAGCTCAAATCCGACTTCACTATTAAATCATCAGTATGAAATTTTAATACGGAGTCTTTTTCTTTAAAGATTAATATAAAGAACAAAGAAAAAAAGATGAGCAAGGATAAATGATTTAAGTAAATACTTACAATGCATCAGCAATTGTATGTGATAGACATGTATTTAACGTAAGACAAGTTAACCCATATATAGCCATACCTATTGATTTTCTTTGTGCAATATTTGTCATTGATAATAAAGTACATTCATTAACTTTCGTCGAATAATGTGCATTAATTAAAGCATGAAAAAAAGCAAAGACTGTATATGCAAGTATTTGAGGATAGAATTATTGTGTTGATGCAGCAAATTCTAAAACCATTTTATTCATTAAACGATCCGATAAACCAATATGTGCAAATAATAATGGTAATAGACGTAATAAAAGTAAAGCTTCATATGGTAATGTTGATGATTATATTATTGATGAACTATCAATCATTTTTTGTTCTTTATTAGCATGTTCATTATTTAATGAATTTGTATTTTCATTTGGTTGTTGTAATAATGTATAAATACATGCAAGTATTCAAACAAGATAATCAATATTGAACGATGATGATTGTCGTATTATTGTTATTGAACGTTCATATAAAACGGCATATATCATTTTTTAGGATATTGACCAACTATTAAAAGTCTTTCAAGACTAATTGATATATTTTTTTGTTAAATTATCATCTTTAATTAATGATAATAAAATATCATATGAATTTAAATCAACTTCATGACTTTCAAGTAAAAATAAACATGATGCATATGCATGAGTTTTAGTTATTAATTTATAATTATGTTCAATTAAATGTATATATAATTCATTATATTCTTTTGTTGTTTGTCCAAACAATATACCAGATTTACATTAATTATAACTTATTAATGATATCATTAAATCATCTTTATCAAACCATGTACGAAAATATTCATCACATAAATCATATAAATTTGATAAATGTTGTGATGATGGAAATAAATCAGATAGATATATAAATGAATCTATTAATTCGTATTACATATATTTCAATTAGAATTTGTAATGATGATGTTAAATCAAAACCATGATGAAAAAATAAGCGATCAAATAAACTCTAAATTATATATTTTTAAAGGTGAATACCAGCGACGAAAATGTTCATACTCTAATTTTCTGATTGATAGGATATATTTCTGATATTTTAGACTTTATTAATAGAATATATTTGAAATTGTTGATATAAGCTTTTATCTATATGAAATAAGATAGTTTGCATGTATTATATATCAAATCAAAGTCAGAGAAACACTAGATTTTCTGTTTGATGAAATTAATAATTTAGCAATGAATTTATCTTTCTCTTAACTTAGAGTTCTGTATACACTTATGTTGAATATTTAATATTAACCAAACTAGAAGTTCTATTTGTCGATTATTAAAAGATATGTGAGACTTACATTAATTGATAATGGTAATGTATTATTACTTTGGATTGATGTTAATATAGTATCATATGAAAGTTGTCCATAGGATAATAAATCACGTGTACCTAACCGTTCAATATTTTTAAATAAATTATTTTAACTTGTATCTGATGTTGAACGTGTTTGCATATATTGACCACCGATAAAAAAAGAACAGATAAAATCTAGTTTATTTTTTAATCTTGTTACCATTGTGTTGCATTTGTTTCTAAAGTTTCTTCTTTTTTTTTAAATTATTTGTTGTTTGTTCATTTTCATCATTAGATTGATTTGTGGTGGATTAAGTGAACGCTAAAAATGAAGCCTATATTTCTTGAAATTGTCTTCTTAATAATCAACCAACTCCAAAATTGTCTTTATATAAATATTGGTAAACAAAATAATAATATAGCTATACAATGTAAATTATGCCAATAAATATATGATTTATATATTTAATTTTTCTTGTTAAATACTAAAGATGATCAAGATTATTAAATAATAAAAGTAATAATTGTATAAATGATCTATTATCTAGTTCAATTAAATTTAAATATGATTATAATAATTGATTTGTTTATTTGATACAGTTAAACTATGTCATTGATAAAAATATTCAAATATTGATAAAAGTGTTTTCCACAACGTAAGACATGACATTATTTAATCTATTTCACAACTAAGAAATGATTTTTTTTTGAAATATATTTATATAAATTATTTCTGATATAAATATTATAGAACGTAGTAAATCACGTACATCACCTGTTGAAAATTGACATGTTAATTCAACATGATTTTGTATTTTATCAAAATACATTGTTTATAGAATCTATGAATGCAATTGAATATGGTTGATTATTAGAGCATGATAAAAGACTTTTTATGTAAATTATATTAGGTGTTATTTCAACATCATTTAAATTTGTTTCATTTGATATTAATCGTTATGTTGATAGAATACTAAGGATGAGACAATGAGGCGCTTGATATAACGATACAAAAACCTAGGAAAACAAAAAAAAAGAATAGACTTAAATTGTTTCTTATTTTCTCAAATCAATTTTCATTTACTATAAGAATCATCCTAAAAATTTTATGCTATGGAAAAAAATCCAATACGTTTTCGGAGTCCAGGAATTCAGGCCTATAGAAAATTTGTCGAAATTCTTGAATGCAATTTTATCGTTTGAGAAAGACTTCGTGATGTTTTATAAAACTCAGCTGCTTTTATGAAGTAGATCTCCTTCGATCGAAAAACTCGAAATGAATATAAGATGAACATCACTGTTGCATTCTTAGTCATCGGTTCATGATATTTGTTTCGAAGAATGTTTCATAAACTTGAAATTTCTGATTTCTAAAAATTATTTTCGGTCGCAAATAAATAATACAATCGAAAACATCTTACGAGATATAATATTAGAAAGACATCGTTTTCTTTAATTGTAACAGTACAAATAGCACAACTCAGAATTTTACTAATGTAGCCTAAATGCTTTCCTTTATGATTTGTATTACCTGAAATTCTGCATATTTTCTATTTCAAAATATGTTTCGAAATTTTGAATTATTCAAAAGTCTCATCTATTATTAGCACATAAACAATGTCAAAGTAAAAAAGAAAATTTTCTCTTACTTGAATTGAAACTTTTATTATACATATATATGTATTTAGTTCGATAAATTAAACTAAAACATACCAGTGACATCATAAATGGTAATCATTTTTTACAAGTTACATTTTTAAACACTTGTGCATCAATTTTTCTTGTTATATCCACAGGATAATTAAGATTATTAAAATCTTCTTTAATAATATCGATTAATATTGTTATTGATAATATTTATAAAATTAATAGTAAATATTTAGGTAATAATTGTTTATTTAATGTTTGTTGGTCAAGTGTTAACATCGTTTCAATACGATCATAAACAATTAATTCAGCTAAACGTAATACAGATATATATGCTAATGGAAGAAATTGTTCAATTAATAAAACTAATACAAGACCACTTTCATCTAAATGTATTCCTTCACAAACGAATAAATGACTTGCAACTACTGTATGATGTATAGGACCAAATCAATTATGCACATATGTACATGTATCACTTTGCTCAAATAAAAAATAATAATAATAATTGATAATGTGTTGTTATTGATGCAACATGTTCAACATATAATTCATGATGATATATTAAATCACAATAAGATTGTAATTGACCACTTATAGATAAATGTATTCTTGATGATGATGGTGTTAATATCGGTGACCACCATGCTTCTTGTGTATAATCAAGCATATTTCAGAATGTGTACGTTGTAATAATAGTGGTATATAAAATAATGATTATAATAATTTAAAACATTCACTTAAAATAGTTAAATATGAAAATGTATCAAGGCGATGTACAGTTTCATCATGAATTCATAATTCACGAAAATCATTTACAATTGTTCGAAATTGTTTAGCTAAAATAAAATCATAGATTTTATATAAGCATAGGAATTTTAAAGTCAAATTAATGAATTGCAGGAAAATTTTATCTTCAAATTAATGGGTGATATGTTACTATTATATAGATTACGATGAAAGTTTAAGCTCTTTTGACTTTGATAGAAACCAGTTTTTATCTGTTCAGTTAGTCCATAATATACATAAGTACATAAAGGTAATAGGATGCAAGAGAAGCTAATGTCACATTGATTTGACCACGTAATTGTTGAGTATTAGTTAAAATTCGTAATATTACGTCATGTAAAATTCGAAGAAGAGTTCTGAAAACAAAAATGAGAATAATAGTTTTTAAATTATAAATAAAATCATTTCGAATACTTACGCACTAAAAGTTTCATCTCGTGTTCCATCAACTGATAATAAAACATCATTCTATCGTGTTAATATAGCATCTTCAGTTAAATTTTGTACAAGACATCGAAATATTATATTTATATTGATTAACTATCGATTTGTAGATTGACAATTGACATTCTAAAAAGTTTTAAACTACAGGAAAATTTTATTAATAAAAATAGCGAACATTTCTATTTACTAATACTTGAAAAGCAATAACAAATGGATCAATTAGTCGTAATTCAACTGATGACACAACATCAAATAGTGTTAATTGTGTGGAATATATATCCAAAAAGTAATTGATCCTATTTGAACAAAAAAAAAAAAAGTAACGCAAAATCAGAGACTATTAAAAGTAAAATAACCTGAGATTGTAAATGAGCAAGAAGTAAATCGACAATTTGTCGTCAAAGACGTTTTCATTTATCATCTTCAATTTGAACACTATTAACAATAACTGTGAACAATCGTAAAGCCTATAACAATATAAATTCTATTATTATTTTTTCAGTACATACACATGATATGAAAAGATACTTTTATTTATAATAATTAAGACGCCTAGTTTTTCTTCAAACTCAGATACATAACAACAAGATAATTATTTTTAGATCATCAATTCGTTGAAGTGAGGGTGTGGGTTCAATCGAGGAGAAAAATTACATCTACACACCCACACTCACACCCTCTCGAGTTTCTAAGATATTTGAGACTTTATAGAAGGACACTTTTTGTTCACTCTCATTTAATAAAACTTTTTAGGAATTTTAATTATTTGCATAACTTGAACAAGAAAAAAATCATATAAAACTGGTTCTAATACTGCCAGAGCTAAATAAAGAATTTTAACGATAATTTCTTTGTCTCAAAAATTATATTTTTTTTGCTTCCTACTATGTATTTCAGGTTCATGTCCACTTACTAATAATGAATCATAATGTTTTATTAAATCTTGTACTTTAATAACTTGTTTTGAATGAAGTGTATCATGTAATAACATAATAAGAAATTCAGCACTACAATAAATAAAATGCTAATTAAAAATAAACGAAACGATTAGAAATGCAACGAATTTCATCACCTTCTAATTAACTATAATTAACACGAATTAAAAGTAATTGAACAAGTAAATCGAGTACAGCAGCTTGAAAATCACTTTCATTTGTATTAATATATTTTTTAAGACTAATTTTTTTTAGTTCAATAAAAACTAGAATAGAAAACAAAAAAACAGACAGAATAAATCAAATTCGTTTTTTTTTGTTTATTTTACTCTCGTATTGCACTATTTTCTATGGATTGCTCACTATTTATACTTGATGCATAACGTGAACCAAATAAAATAAATTATCGATTGTCGAATACTTATTGTATGAATATAAGTTAAAGAATTATTTAATGATACTTGTGAAGAAACATTTGAAGATTTAATAAAAACTAAATTAAAAGAATATTTTTAAATGAATGTTGTGTTAACAGAAAAAATGATTTTCAAATTTCGAATTGATAGCGTTTCTTGCAGATCGCTCACGTAAACTAGATGATTTAATATTCGAATTTCAAGATAGAACCGAATCAAAAGATCTGACACTTTCACAACAAAACTACTCTCGTTAAGATCATCGATATTTGTAAAATCAGTTTTTCTGTTACTATGACATTCTTATATTGAAATTTTCCTTCTCTAGGAAAGACCCTTTCAGAAACCTTCATTATAAGATTTCCATCTAAAGTTTTATCTGTAGACAAGTTTCAGACCCATTACAACATCCTAAAGGTTTTAGCTTAAACAATAAATAAAGAAGATTAATAATTGAAATTTTCTTTACAATAAATATTTACAGGCCTCGCAGCGCTCCTTCTTTCCTTCTTTTTTCCTTCTTTTTTTAGATCGTCCTTCTTCGTCCTTCTTTCCTCCTAAAATCCTTCTTTTCCTTCTTTTTTACTTTTCATACGAATAGGCTGTGAGAAACATCGAAAACATTGAATAGAAATACCTAGTTAGAATCCAACACTGATAGAGAGCTCTTAAATCTACAGAAAAGGTTTAATTTATCTCAAGTCCAATGAAAAGTTCGTCACACTTACGCTAACGTACGTATGTGGGTCTTGAATTTACGTGGCATCCACATGCAGAACTTGAGATACGTAAAATGACACTTCTCTGGAATTTGGTCGCTGCAAAACTTTCGGGCATATACTCACGAGGGAAGGTCCCCAACTGACGGACGCCGTTCGATTCCATATTATGGCTATAAGGTAGGTCTCTATGAGACTAAGAAAACCCTAAAAAGATTCGTGCCCATGGTCTATCTGTGAAGAGTTAAGACCGTTTTACGGAATTTTGAGCATGCGACTAGGGATTT